GGCAGCAAATGTGGAGCAGCCAAGAGCTGTGGTCCAGGGCATTGGTGCCCTGTTTTCCCACATGTTCATCAGCTCCTGAATGTCCCCAGCCCTCAGGTCTTGACGGGGATGGTGGGTTTGCTGCCGTCGGCGCCAGGCAAGCCCACGGGGTGCTCGGTGGTGGCAAAGAGCAGCATGTCCAGGGTTGTCTCGGTGCACTTGGCAATGAAGCGTATGAAGGGCCTGACGTCCCCCTCGTTGGCTACTTCCAAGACATGATAGTACTCGGCCCGCTGCTCCTTGCGGATGGTGATGGGGGGGTAGCCTGCCTGCATCAGGATGAGGTTCATCAGCAGGCGTGAGGTCCTGCCGTTGCCATCCACGAAGGGGTGGATGTAAACCAGCTTGTAGTGGGCTAGGGCAGCGAACTCCACCGGGTGCAAGCTCATGGCATCTTCCGAGTTCATCCACTGCACGAACTCCTGCATCTGCTTCTCCACGTCCTGGGGGTGCGGGGGGATGTGATGTCCTACAAACACCTGGGTGGCCCTGAACCTCCCCGCCTCCAGCGGGTCGGCGTAGCCCAGCACTCTGCGGTGGATCTCCAGGATGTCACTGATGGTGACGGAGCCGATCCGGGACACCAGGGTGGTGTTGACATACTTGAGGGCAGCGTGCATGCCAATCACCTCGTTCTGCTCCACCAGGCTCTTGCCAGGCACAGCATACCTGGTCTCGATGATGTGCCGGATCTCCGAGAGGGTCAGCGTGTTCCCCTCGATGGCCACCGTGTGGTAGATGTGGTGGTAGTAGGACTCCTCCATCACGCGGCGCAGGGCAGAGTTGCCCTTGGGGATGGCCATCACCTTCTTAACCTTGCTGTCAATGATGCTGAAATACCTCTGGTCTATCTCTTCAACCAACGGCAGCGTCCGGTCCCGATTGATCAAGGCCTTCTCGTTGCAGGGAGAGATGGTCAGTGCTTTGGAGTACAAATAGTCAGCCTGGAGAATGTCTTTCTCCTCTTCAGAAAAGATACCAAATTCGTTCAGGGCATCCACGTAGTCGGGGTCCATTTTGAGGGCGTACAGGAAGAGCTTGTGGGCCTTCTCCCGCTTCCCCTGGCGCTTCATCTCCAGGGCTTGGTTGAGAGCTGCTTTGGCTTCTAATTTCACTTCTGAAACGGAGCAAGAACAGTCAGATAACAGGGGGGTGAGTTGTACTGAAAGCAGCCTCTCACTGTTCACAATACAAACGTGAACTGAAGCTAATCTGGGAGAACTGTAAGGAGGAGCCCTTATCCCTCTGCCTGGCTCCGGGCCCTGGTGCCACGTTTACACTCCTGGTGAGGCAGGAGCTGTGGGCAGCGTGGCTCGAGCTGCCTGCAGGCTTGTAGCCATCCTGGCACAACACACTTTGGCCACCCAGCTGCTGCGTGGGAGGACAGAGCCTTCAATATTTGCTCTTGGCAGTAACACCAGCTCTCTTGCTCTGAGCACAGCCCCCAGCTGCACACACCATTTCTATCCTGTTTTTCACTGAGCTACCAAACATTTTCCCAGCAGTAACAGCTGTACTGCAAGCAAAGGAAGTGCTGGAATCCTCATGATTCCTTTGAATGTTTTCCAAATTAATGTTCTGGCTAATAAAGGCAAGAACCACAGCCTGTTCCTGCCAGAAAGGCTGTTTTCTGACAGCCTGGACTGGGGGAGTGATGCTGCACATCCTAAGAGTTAGTGTGCATTAAAACATCTCTTTGTTCCAGTCACCTTAACAGAATTTACTGGAACAGAAAGCATGAAGAACAACTTCTGAGAGGCAAAGCAGCTCTGAGAAAACGCCAGCACAGGGTGCTGGAATGCAGCTGGGCTAGCCTTGGCATGTGTGAGTCAGGGTTAATTTGCAGCTGGGCAGTGAGAGTTCATTACTGTAATGGTGCCCAGGAGATGATCAGGTGGGAGGAACAGATCCCCAGATGCCCCTGGTTACTATGCAGGGGCTCAGCTGTTCCCCTGTGCCCCCCTGGGGACCCCCCTCACCTGGGGAGGCTTTGCCTTTCAGCACCAGCAGCTGCAGCCCCCTGGAGGTCACGCTCAGGCCGGTGGTTTGTCCTGTGTATCTGGTGACCCCCGAGGAGCCTGCTCCCAGTTTACTTTTCAGGAAGGAGAGTCCCTGGAGCAGGGCATGGCACTGGTCCTCCACAGCAGCCAGCGGGAGCAGCAGCACGGCCAGGGAGCCCAGCAGGAGCCCCAGCACGGCCGCCCAGCGGAGGCGGCTCCACAGGCTCATCCATTTCAGCGCGGGAGCTGTTCCCATCGGCACCAGGTTCATCCTGCTTCCAGCACCGGCACGGGGAACATCTCTCTTCCAGCTGCTCACACCTGGAAACAGAGTTAACCGGAGCTCTGCGGCACGGAGCTGGTGAGTGGCATTTGTGCTCCTTGATTTCTGTCACAGCGGGTGGGGTCACCCCAA